AAGACACAGTGTACATGATATAAACCTGAGAAGGGAGGCAACCCAAAGGACAGGTTAGGGATTGCGTATGAATATGAACTCAGTGCATTTTTTAGAGTGAAGGCAGGGGCTAAGAGGTAGGCTGGGAAATAAGAGTGAACATCAGAGTCAAGGTGGAAAGCGCTCCCAGTGCTTTGCAGAAAATGGCAAAGAAGCTGGATTAGATGGGGAACTGGATAAGAGGATGAAGACAAAGGTGAGGATAAACTGAGTATCTTAATAAAACCCCAAGCCTTCCCCATCACTTCTGTCACTTGTAGAGGAATCTGTTTGACTTCCTTGATGGAGAATTTGAAAATTGGCGTTGGAGGATGGTTGGATTAACATTCTGACTGCCAGGAGACCGTATTCTCCTCCCTCGTCCAGGGAGAGTTCAGCATCTCTGCCTCTGTAGACAAGGGAATGTCATACTGATTTACCTTCCCATCATTTATGTCTGGGGGTTATGAAAGAACAGGTTTGGATCCCTGTACCACTAATACCATTAGCAGTGCGGTAGCGTCTGATGCCACTGAGCTTAGTTAGAGACTCACAGAAAGAATGAGCTAGCTTTTTAATCAGGGATTGAAGATACCTGCCAAATAAGGATTACTGTACAAAGGGAAGATAGGGAGAGAGAAGAAACCAGAGCCTAACCTTAACAGGACTGGTGACGACTTGCTGAGTTTTGATGGTTACCCCTGAAGAAGGGACAGATACTCAAGCTGCCTGTTGGGCAGCTTTTCAGTGGTTCAGACATCTTCTGCTGTATCTTGTCACGTTTTGAACTCATGCCCTGAGACCTGGGCAATCGGGTAAGCTGGCCTGCCTTGAAAAAAGAGGAAAAGCCCAGAGTGACACCACTGGAAAGTGCTGCTTCATCGGATCGATAGATTCAAAGATGACTAGGTTGTGTAGTTGTATGCAGTTTAAACATTTGTGCAGGGAGTCCACCCGCGCAGAGTATTATTGACAGCTACAGATCAATGCTAATTTTTGATCATTTTCAACCTACAAAGACCTCTTGACCCTATTGCCACCTTAGGGGCACTTCAAGTAGTCAAAAGCAATCACAGTAGGCAGTGTAAATTCGTCAGACCCTTGAAGGCTGCGCCGCCTTGCCCTTGCCCGGGAGGAAGACCGAGAGGTAGCGAGGAAGGCAGGCACCTTGCATTATGGATGCCGCTGCCTTTGAACGGCATGAAAGACTATGCTAATTTGTTTCTAGACTTTAAGTGACTTCTGTGCTCATGAATTAAAAAATAAACAAACAAAAAAGGCAATCTGAAGCAAATCTTGACAGATACATTATTCATGATTCATGTTCTCTCATTTTATGTTTTGAAAAATGTGTTAAAACAAGGATTTATTTTAAATAACTTTTATCCTAATTTACAGTTGGAAGAGTGGAATTAGCCAAGGAGTGTATTTGTTGCTGTTAACAGCTTCTGCTGCCACTGGCAGTGCGTGAAGCATTTTACACAGCAAAAAGAAAGGTGCGGTCCTGCCTGGAGCAGTGGTGGTGCTGCCAGTGCTGCGCAAGGGAAGGGGACGGGGCTGCCGAAAGCAAGGGCCGTGTCAAAGGCTGGGCTCTGGGCTGCTGCGCGGGGATCAGATCACAGTGGCTCCTCACAGCTTGCCTCAGGTGTCCGTTTCTGTAGAGTTTACATTGAAAGGACGGTCCTTATAGGAGCAATGTGAGAGTGCACACACTTAAATGTTTGCTGGATTATTCTTAATTTAATGACTGAATGAGTGAGAATGCTTCACAGGAGGAGACAGAGAAAGGAGGGCATGGGCTTGTAGTCCATCAGATTTCATGGTCAGTCAGTCTACGAACATCTTAATGTTCGCATTAAAATTTTATTTTGTTGGTTTGCTTTTAATGGTGTATGAAATCTGGACTGTTAGCAGTGTGTAAGCATGGGATATATGAGTTCATGGCTTTGCGGACAAAGACTGGGAAGAGTATTCCAGGAAATGATTGTGATCCTGCGCCTGTTTAAGGCTGTGTGGTTGTCCGCTGAAGCCAAAGGTTACAGTGCTATCCTTTGCAAGGTGTATTTTGCTATTTATTTTTGACCATTCCAGCAGGACAGTATTTCTAGGCTGAAAATGTCATGGGAGGACATAAAGTAATTCTTAAAATGAATCACTGAGACTGCCAGCCACCCTCTTTTCAGCATCAGCCTTTGAGCTGAGCAAATTCACAAATGGCAATGGCAGCAGTGCAGGGGGAGAAAAAGTGGCTCCGTATTCTGGGAGTACGTCCCCTGAGTTTACTTCAAAACCAAACCAAACAAAAATACATGTAAACCATTTGCTCTTCAAGAAGTATCTGTAGGAGCCAGGGATAAAAGTCGTCCCTGGAAGGAATGGTTTAGCAGTCTCCAGAGAGCATGGTGAACTGCAGGCAAGGAAATCCCTCCATCCTTGTTTCAATTCAAAGTGTGGTGAGGATTGTAAATAATTAAATCTTGGGCTTTAGTGGGAAAATGATAGAGGGTGATGAAAAATATGCTGGTTTTCTGTTTAAAAAAAGAAATCAAGTGTTTTGTAGCATTGCTGTCACAAAAGCCCACCCTGATGATGCAGCTGATCGGAAAGCAGAGCCATTGCTTTTCGTACGCTGTTTGTAATAATGTGTTTGTACCTTCTGAGAGCCTCTGTGTGCAGGGGCAGTAATTTAATGTTGTGTGCTCCTTTCCTCCCACCCCCACCCCCGAACCGCGGAATGTAAATTTTAGGCTTTTAAAAGTTCTGTTTTGAAAACCTAATAGATAACTGTCCTCATAAAAACTATTAATACAGACTACATCCAATTGTAAAGCTAATTTTAATCATGTTTTGTGCCAACATAATTTCTGATGCCAGATTTTTATGCTAAGCATGAACTTCAATTTGAGCTCTGTTCTTTAACCTGCAGTTCATAATTTTGTATTCGGCTGTATAGGTTTTTGGCTATGGCAGTTTGAACGCTTCCACTTTCAAGGATCTGAGCCATAAATGTTTATTAAAAGAATCTATAATGAAATCAGTTTTGTTATTTTTTTAATGGCTGCCTTGAGTATGTTGGATGACTGAACGCACGTTGTTAATCATTAAGTACTCATGTTACGAAAAGTGTTTGATAGTATTGCCATCTAGGGGCTGAACTAAATTCTCCATACTGAAATAAACTGTAATTGAACAGGTGCTGCTATTGACAATATACATATGTTTTTGCTTTATAGCCCACATGCTTTCCATGTTTCTTATGACAAAAGATATCTCTAAATGTCCCACAGCAGCCAGAGCTTTTTTTATATATAATCTGTTCGAGGTGATTGCTATTTGCATTTGAGCTTATGCTTTTTTGGCAGTGATGACTGGGAATTCCTAACAAAGAATTATACTTTTTTGCATTATTAATCTTGCTAGTGTTTGCCCTGTTTAACAGAAAAAGGAATCATTTATCAGAAAAGTATGTTTATAATCTGTACTTGTGGCATCTTCAGAATTAATATTCATAATGGTCATTCAAATGCTGTGCTATATTTATCTAAAAGACTAACTCATTGTTGTGAGGAAATAACTATTTAAATATTTATGATCTAACTTTTAATATTTAAAAAAAGAAATTAATATTTCTTTAAAATTTGTTTCTGAGTCTGATAGCTTAACAAATGTTTAAATATTAAACAATCAGAAATGTTAGCATTTAACAACTTAATGTCTTACTGAAACAGGGACATTGACTTCAGCTGTTTCTGCCACACGAAGAAAACTGTATTCCCCCACTCCCCTTCTTGAGATCTATATAATTAATGCAAAAGCACAACTAAAAACGAAATCAAATGTATCAGTGATCAGCTGAACTCCTTTCTTCCTTGCTCCTCTGATGAGACAAATCTGAAGAGTCTTCCTACTGAAAGGTGTTACTCCTGTTCTTTGTTAGCCACTGTATGCTTTGTGGCTGTTCAAAATAACACTAGGGCTGTATCGCCTCCCTGCCTAGATCTGAATTTGTGCTGAGGCTCGCGTCGCCTCATATCCGAGCAGTTTCGGGTCTGTGTCAGATGCTGTTCAGGGTAAGCTTGAGCTGCGATGCCGGTGGCCCCTTCTGGCCATGGCTGATGTCCCTCGGTCTGCATCCACCCGCGTGCCCCCGTGCTGGGCTGTGGTCTGGCGTGGTGGCAGGTCAGCCCCAGCCCTTCCAGCCCTGGCAGAGCCCGGTGGGATTCACGAACAGCCGTGCTCCTCCTAGCCTCTCTCCGCCAGTGCGAGGCGAGGGTCTCGCGCCAGGGAGGGCCTGTGTCCCCATCGGAGGGTTCTTGTAAGGCAGCGGGTTGCCCCACAATTGTCTTACCTTGTGAATTTATCTCAAGCGACACCTTTACAAAGCAGGAAGATAGAAACCAGTTTATTCCCTCCCTCTCTTCCTCTCCGCGCCCCCCCCCCATTTTTAAGGGGTTTGTTTTCAGTAAGGAAATGAAGCTGTGCTGTGCTCTTGGAAACACGGTTGTCTGTCCGGATTGCAATGCTTTAAGTAGCTAGAATGGGACGGCACACCTATCCAAATGTCACGTCTACACACAAGACGTGTAAGGATTCTGTAGAGGCAGGCATCACTCATATACCACAGGTTTTTACATGTGCTTGAATCCTTCAGAGTATCAGGCACTTTCATCCTCACTGAGCAAAGCTCAGGCACGTGCTGAACAAACTGTAAGTTGTTTGCTAGCTGAGATTTGGACTGTGCAGGACTCCCCAGGAGTCGGCTCCAAAGGCTCTACGATAATGATAGATATTTTTTAAAAGCCTAAGAGTTTCTTTTTGAGGTTCAGCTATGGAAACCCACCAAAAAATCCTGGTAACCAGATGGGGTATTCTGCAAAGCGGTCAGAAGCAACCCAGAGCTGAGACCTCATTTTCCAAGTGACATAAACCACAGATGCTGATTACTTTTTTAACTAACCCAAACATCTGTATTCTTGCTTCAGGGAACAAAGCATCAGGCTCATTTATTTGGATTGAAACCTTTCACAACATATCATATTCATGTCGTAGCTGTAAACAATGCCGGACAGGTTTCAAGCCCCTGGACATCTGTGCGCACATTGGAAGCTTCACCCAGTGGCCTGAGCAACTTCACTGTGGAAAAGAAAGAAAATGGCAGGGCTCTGCTGCTAAAATGGTCAGAGCCCTCCCAACCCAATGGCGTGATTAAGGTAATCTTCATCTTGACACTTCACTTGATCAAAAAAGAGAAGGGAAATGCTGAATATCAAATTAAAACATTTTTGCTGAAAAGGACTCAATCAAATGCATTATACTTTAAAATAAGACAGAAGTCCCATGTAAGCACAAGACACTCTGTGAGCGCTCTCTGCTTGTGATTATATTAAAATTAGTATTAACATTCCTGTGCTACCCCATGACTGTAAATGTTCATTTACAGTGAACCAGGTTGTTCATTTAATGTATAGAAAGCTACACATGAAAACTCATAATCTCACTTGGTGTACATTAGACATTGCCAAAATGTGTTTCTAGAAAACCTGGGTTTGGCAGAATGCTGTTCTGAAATTTGGGACTTCTTTTAGCTCAATAGTTTCAAGTGAGTGTAAACCTTTGCCTGCAAGGTTTGCAACTAGCGGGGTTTTTTTGGAGTTCTTTTCTTATGTGGTTTTCTCTAGTTAGTCTGTGAGAAGCTTTGTGCTAGCCCGTGAGAGCCCCACAATGAAACTTGATAACAAACAAATATAATGAAAACTGTCACTAAGTGATTTATTACTGCATTCAAAATGAAAAAATCATGAAAATTGGATCAAAACATTCCTTTTGTATCAATGATCTCTTTGTGTGCTGATTGTTACTAGTAAGGAAGTAAGTTTCTGAATCATCGGTTAATAGTCCTTACCCTATTGCAAAGATTAAGGTGCCTCATCTACTGGTTATTGACAAAAATTGATGATTCTTTTTTTTTTTTTTTCCTTTTACCCTGGCTTCTGTCCTTTCTCCCCTCCCTGCCTTTTTTTTCTTTTCCTTTCTTTCTTTATTCACCAGACCTACAATATTTTCAGCGATGACAACCTGGAGTACAGTGGTTTATCTCGCCAGTTCCTCTTCAGGCGCCTTGAGCCATACACTCTCTATACCCTCGTACTGGAGGCTTGCAACGCGGCGGGCTGCACTCGTTCTCCACCCCAGCTGGTCCAAACAGATGAAGCACCCCCAGTGTCTCAGATGGCACCTGTAATCCAGGCAGTGAACGCTACCAACGTTGAACTGAGCTGGTTGCAGCCAATTAATCCAAATGGAAAAATAATTCGCTATGAAGTTATTCACAGATGCACAAAAGAAAATGCTGCAGGGTACAGAGCAACGACAGAAGACGAGAAAATTGTTTTCACAGAATATAACACTGAAAGTAATACATTCATATATAATGATAAAGGTTTACAGCCGTGGACAAGGTATGACTATAAAATACGCACCTGGAATGCAGCAGGCTACGCTGACAGCTCCTGGACAGTGGCAAAGACTAGTCAAACTGCCCCAAAAGGTCTCGCTGCCCCCAGGTTATTCTTGGTGTCAGCTAACCCCCGTAAAGTGCTCATCTCCTGGGCCTCCCCAGCACAGCCCAATGGTATTCTTCAGTCCTACAGACTGCTAAAAAATGATATTCTCTATCCTTTCAGCTTCGATGCTGCTACTTTCAACTACACGGATGAAGACTTGCTGCCCTATTCGATGTACAGTTATGCGATAGTTGCCTGTACGATGGGAGGCTGCTCTACCAGTGAACCAGCTGCAATACAGACACTGGAAGCAGCTCCTGCCTTAGTGGATCCACCGTCTCTGCAGGCTGTTAGTGCCACTCAAATTAATGCATCTTGGGCACCTCCCCAAATACAAAATGGAGATATCACCAAGTACATACTGAAATTAAACAATGAAGAGTATTATCCTGGCAAAAGTTTGCAAATGTTTATTTCTGATCTACAGCCTTACACGCAGTATGATTTTGCATTGGTTGCCTGTACTGCAGGGGGCTGCACATCTAGCATATCCCAGTCGGTGATGACCATGGAGGCCCCACCGTTAAATATGGAAGCTCCCAGGCTGCTTGTCATGGGCTCAGAGTCAATTGAAATCACATGGAAACTTCCAGCTAACCCCAATGGTAAAATCACAAGCTACGAGCTAAGGAGGGATGGTGTTCTTGTTTACTCAGGTCTGGAAACTCGGTATCTTGATTTCACCCTAATGCCAGGCATGGAGTACAGCTACACTGTCACTGCAAATAACAGTCAAGGGAGTGTGACCAGCCCATCAGCTCAGATAAAAACCAACCCCTCTGCTCCGTCTGGGATGTTGCCTCCTAGGTTGCAAGCATGGTCCTCAAAGGAGATTTTGGTGGCCTGGGATCCTCCTATCAAAGTAAATGGTGACATTAGAAATTACACAATCTCTATCCACAAGCCTGCTGAAACGGGCAAGAAAACTGTTGACTTTGATGCATCTCATGTTTCCTTTGTGAGACGGTCGTACATAGTGGCAGAGCTACAACCCTATAGTAGGTAAGCCTGGAAGATCTCATTTGTTGAATAAATGCTGCAAGGTGCTTCAGTGGGCTGGCAGATAGCTTAACCATCTTGTTTAAACAGATAGTCAAACCCATGGGTTTTTGTTTTCTAAAAAGCACATGATAAAACCGGGATTTTTTAATTTATAGTAACAACAGCTATATATCATCTTGATGAACTGCATAGGGTTGACTTTGGTTGTAATTAATACAAGGGGCAATTCACTACTCTGCTATAGACTCCAAAACCTGCAGTCTTGTACTTGCATATCTTTCGCAAGATGTCTGCCTTCAAGAATAAATAGGGCTTTAGTTGACAAAGTTTGGGGTGGGGAGGCCAAAGACCGGTTAGCTAGCCTATTCACAGTGTAACTGAGCTAAGATTAATGGAGTCACACCAGGAACGTGTTCGCACCCTTGAGTTGAAAACAGGCAACTTGTTTTTAATTGAAAGCTAAAACTTAAAAGAGGGTACCAGACTTGGCTACAGAAGGAACACACTTGGTACTGAAATAATATCTTCCCCACTAATTCTTGATTATTTACATGACCTTTCCTTATATTTTTGTGTACGCATAATTTGTGTGTGTTACACGGTTGATAAGTCTGTCTACTATTTACATATAACTAATCTGAATCCAAAGAGAGAAGAGTAATAGAGTGAAGCTCTATAGCTCTCAAATGATATCCAAATCATCTCCTACAATGAATCATCATTTTGATTCATATCGTCAAAATCAAAACGATTTTGATCACTTGTCTCCTGCAGATGTTAACTCTGCTCTGAAAAAAAAAACCAAATGAAAACCCAGAAGGCAACGTTCTTCCTTTTTGCTACACAAGGCACAGCATATAATCTGTATATTGATACAAACTGTTTTCATATTAAAAAATACCAAAGACCAAGAGAAATGAAGAAATCCCCCAGATTTCATGCACAGCCTATATTTGTGTTTGCAGTGTTTTAATCACTTTGTTCCTCATTTGTGTTCCCGAAGGTATGAAGTACAGCTCCAAGCTTGCACAGAGCTGGGTTGTGCCTCCAGTGAGTGGGCATCGGTACAGACGCTGGAGGCGCCACCGGCAGTGCAGCCTGCCCCTCTCATAGAAATACAGACCAGAGCTGGGGGCTTCCAGTCAACTTCTTCCCTCCTGTGGACTGGCCCACAGCAGCCAAATGGGAAGATTTTATACTATGAACTTTACAGAAGGCGAACGACTCGAGCCCACATAAATTTAGACCTCGCACTTGTTTACAATGGTTCTTCAACCTCCTTCAAAGATGACAAGTTGCTGCCTTACACAGAATATGAATATCAGGTGGGAATTGAAGCCATTTAGCAGCTCTGATTATGATTTCAGTACACTTTGAGAACCTTACTTTACACTTACAACGAACATACACATATTTCTAATGTTAGTACTGTGATACCTGAATGATTATTGTTAATGTATTTTAAATAGTTGAGAAGCTGAAAAAAATTTTGCACAAGCAATGCATTCATTCAGCATTCATTTTTCTTTAGCTTAATCATTCCTGTGTTCCCTGTATGTTAAAAGTTTGTGTACCCTCCGGAGCTTTTGCAAGGCTCTAATGTTATGTGAGTAGTGTGAAATCCTAGTTCTTAAAAGGCAGCTTCATTTCATTAGTTTTTCTTTCTTTTTCCATCCTTCCCCCATCTATTATGAATTAATTTTTACTTTATGATCTTAAAGTAGTTTATATCAAGAGGGACTGGGGTTGTTTTCTTTTTAAATTAGATATTAGGATCACAAGCAGTTTTCATGGGTGGTTCAAAGGTGGATTTGCTGTTGATGGTTGGTGTTACTTCTCATGCACATAGGTATTTTTACAATTGTTTTTCTTATGAGGCTAAGATAAAACAAGGAGACCAGTTCTGCCATTCTTTCACCTGTAACTGTTTTCTGTGTCAAAGTCACAAGTTTTAGCATCATTTTTTAATCGTAGACTACTAGTGATAATGTAGGGCTTACTTGATTTCAGCCTATGAACTAAGAGCTTTGCTGTTTATAACCACCTGAAATCTTTCCCAAGTTTTTATATGAGTTAGTAGAGTTTAGACCCTCACCAGAAAAACAGCCTTGAATTTGTTGTTTCTAAAAATAAGTGGATGTAGCATCGTAGCACGATGAAGTTGATTTTTGAATATGACGTTGTCTATGAATAGGCATGCTTATTTGCCACCGAACAGGATACCAGTAAACCTCACTACTGATTCTGTACGCAATATTTGTACACATGATATATTATGAAGATGAGTTTGGCAATGCTCAAAAGTCTTTACAACCTTTTTCCTAAAAAAAAAATTTAAAAAAATTTCTTCAAGCATAGATTTGTTTTGATATTTATGAAACACTGTGCATTCCAGCTCTTGAGCTCCTGCAAGATTGTGGCAATCTTTCTTTTACAGTCTCCTTTGCTTTATAAGATCACAAGATAATTCAGGTTGGAAGGGGTCTCAGGAGGCCATCCAGCCCAACTTCCTGCTCAAAGCTGGGTCAGTTAAGAGCTCAGATGAGGATACTGAGGGCTTTATCCAGTTGCATCTTGAAAACCTCCAGGGAGGGAGATTGCATAACCTCTCGGGGCAGTCTGCTCCACTGCTTCACTGTCTTCATTGTGAAAAAGTTTTTTTATTATATCCAGTCTGAACCTCTCTTGTTTGAACTTATGCCTGTTTTCTCTTGTCCCCTCCCACCCCTCCACGTACGACAGTGAGAAACATGGACCCACCTTCTTGTTAGCCTGTGAGTAGGTGCTGTGGGATTGCAATCATATCCCTCCAAAGCAATCCCTTCTCCAGGCTGAACAAGCCCCAGTCCCACCGCTTCTCCTCGTAGGCCAAGTTCTCCAACCCCCTGATTACCTTGGTGGCCCTCCAGCGAACTCACTCTGATTTATCAATATCTTTCTTGTATCCGGGGGCCAAAATGGAACAAGTGCTAAGTAAAGGCATGTAATTACTTCTTTTAATTGGCTATGCTCCAGTTAAACAACTCAAGATGCTGTTGGCCATCTTTGCTGCCAGAGTACACTGCTGGCTCATGTTCAGCTTTCTATCTACTAAGACCTCTAGATCCTTTCCAGCAGAGCTGCTCCCTAGCTGGTCAGTCCCTGTCCTGTAATGCTGCAAGGAGTTATTCCTTCCCAGCTGCAAGACTTTGCATTTGTCTTTGCTGAAATTCATGAAACTCCTGATGACCCATTCCCTCTAGGCCCTTCTGAATGGGAGACCTGCCCTTGAACATATTAACTGGTCCCCTCCAGTTTGGTGTCATCCACAAATTTGATGAGAGTGCATTTTACAGATTGGGTTCTTCGGTAGCTGAGCTCCACTGCTACTGTTATGTTCTATTTGATAGCCAGAAACCATAAAGAGTTAAATCTAAAAGGTTGCTTTATCACATCAGCAGTACAGTCTATCCAGCTGCTACATGTACATGTGTCATAGACGCACAGACTCATGCAGGTTGGAAGGAACATCCAGAAGGCATCTAGCCTAACTGTCTGCTTGAAGCAGGTTCAGATAGAGCAGGCTCAGGATCAGCTGAGTTTTGGATCAAGTTCTCCGTCCTTGAATCTCCAAGGAGATTGTACAGCCTGTGTGAGCACCCTGTTCCGATTTCTGACTACATAGCTCTTATTTTTGTTTGTGTCTAATTCCCTTGTTTCAACTTGTGTCTGTGCCTTTTGCTCCATTACTGTCAGAGTCCTGGGGCCTGGAGGGAGGCTTTCTTCATAAATCAGTTCTAGCAGCTCTAATTTGGGTAAGAAAAGGATTCTGAAAGGACAATTATAAAACTATTGAAAAGAGAGCCTAGGATGCTACTAGAAAAGTATACTCTCTGCAGCATTCACAAAGCCTTTCTTCTTTGCTTGACAATCACAAACCTCGGTGTTTTTCCTTTTGATGTTTCTGGATTGGGAGCATGTCTGGAAGGTAACAGCCAGGGTGAAAAGCATGTCTGTTAGCTTTGTGCTGAAGGAAATGATGATCATCTGTGAGCTGACTGCTTCTTATTGCTGATTGCAGGTCATGTTACTTGATTTCCTTCAGTTACTTAACAATGTCTTCTTGAACCTAGCGGTACAGGAGATGCTAGAACAATACATTCCAAAGCAAAAATGATAATTAATTAAAGCCTGAAAATTTATTTCACTTCAAGTATACGAGGGTATATTTTTCAGTTGTCACTTCTCTTGTGACCAAAGTTGTTAAACCTTTCCTGGAAACAGCACGCTTTGGGGTGGATTGTTTGTGTTTTGAGTCCTACTATGTACAAATATTAAGGTTTCCATTTCTTTCTCCCAGCTCTTCTTAAATGCCTGTGTAGGACCCGTCTGTAGGCCTATAACAGTGTGAGGTCTGCTCTCCATTTGCTGTAGTTTCCTTATAGCAGAACTATTGTTAGACCAGATCTCCTTGCTATTTTGGATACAATCTGTGAAGAATGCAAAGTGCAGGTGAAGCTGGGTAGGTAGCAAGCATTGTAGCAGACCCAAGCCCTACTTATTAGTTAGGAATCTTTCACAGATGAAGAAAAACATCCCAGGTTGTTATCTGAGCTGGAAGTTGTAGACGTTGGCTGTGGGATATTATCAGTTGCACCAACTTTCAATTATCTCAGTCAGAAGTTGGTTTTTGGGAAGTTGATAGCACAGAGACTTGCTGAGCCAAAGTTTTTAATGATCTATTAGTGGCGGGTAACAAAGTAAGTCTCTTGACTCTTGTGGTTTACCATGCTGTATTCAAGACTTTGCTTTTTATCTCAGTTCTACTCCATAACCAAGCTGAGCTGTTGACTGGGACCCTAAATCATTTTTTGGTTTTTTTTTCACTGGTGGCCATTTATTTCACTGTGAGAGGTTTCTGCGTGCACGTGTTTGTCTTCTGCTTATGTCACTTGCAGCAGTCCTCTGGGATCTATTCTGAGCCTCTCCATTGTTGACAATTTATATCTTGCCTGTGAGACAAGTTATTCATAAGTATAGGCTTGGCTTTTGCTATTATGCTGATGAAACCCAGATTTATATTTCACTTAAACTGGATATTGATTCTGCTGTCTCTGCATTTGAGGCTTGTTTGCTGGACATAAAACTTTAAATGCAACTGAATTTCCTCCAGCAGAATGCAGATAAAATCAAAGTGCTGTGATGGGACTCTCTCCAGCATTTTTGGAGGTACTGAGATGTAGTTCAGTGAACCCTGACAGCTTCTTTGGATCTGAAGTCAGGATTTTGGAGTTGGGTTGTTTTGGTTTTTTTTTCTTTTGCTGGAAACGTCAGCTGAATATTTAGGGCTTTTAAGACTAGATGCAAAAGTTACACTTTCAAAAATGATGAAGTGACTTTAGCAGCTCATGCTGGTCAAAAGGCCTATGCCCCCTAAATGCTTAGGTCACTGTTGTTCAAGGATGCACTTTTATTCTTTAAGGGCCAGATCTACATAAGCATATTAGCACCTGCTAGGTATCAGTGGATTTTTAAGAGTCACTAAGGTGCCTACTGTCCCGTATTTGGAAATAGTTACTTAGATCTTTGAAATTCCCTCTATAGGTCTATTTTTATATTTAGATACTTGCATTCTCTAGAGCATTTGGCCTTTAGATATTTGTTGGAATGCTGTCTGAGATCCTCAGCTGTATTAAACAGATGCAATTGCATGATTTCCTAAAAAAAAAAGATTTAAACAAAGTTTATAACTTATGAGGCCTAATGAGTTTGCAAGTGTAATCTTTTGATTCCTGAAATATTTCTGAGAGTGCATAGGTTCTCCTCAGGAATTATTGAGGATGGTGTGCGATGTTACCATATAACAACCTATAGAGTCAGACCTATTTTTCTCAGCTAAGGGAAGGTCCTTTTGAACAGAGAATGGTGGCATTTAGTGCTGTTCTGCTGAGTGAAGTTGTTGGAGTATGGTGCGATTTCCATGCAAGTGCAATGTCACTCTTCTACAATTGTGCTTAATTTTGTCCTTAAGACTGCTTCTTTAGATTAATGGCTTAATGTCTTCCTGGTTTAGTACACGTCCTTATTTCCACTTGGCAGGCATGGAACATGTATAAAAGACAGAAAAGTAGGATTGTCTCTTTTCAGAAAGTTTTATGGCTCCCTGCAGAGGTTTATTCTCCAGGAGGACTATCTGGTGCACCAAGGCAGGGTCTGCAGCGCTGAAGCTGGCTGCCTTCGACAGCTGTGGGAGGCACAGCATCCCTCTTGCTGTAAAGCATGCTTCTTACACTCCAGTTACTGCAGCCAAGTGAAGGGTCTAGGAAATACCCCGACATATACCAGG